GTCAAACACAGGTACCCCAGCCAGTCATTTACACACAGATCAATTCATTAAATCTAACCCTGCTCCATCTGCTGCTCCAGCTCAGAAATAGCCACACAGATTTTCTTTACCACTTCCATCAGAACAGAAACTTGTACAAAGCAAATTAATTTTTTTTTCAAACTTCTGAAATTTTCTTGCTTTTAAGATGTAAAAATGCTCTTTTAGATCTTTTTTTCCCATTCTAACAAGGAAGATATTTTTCTAAATATAAAACAAGTGGCTTGTACCCCTGCAATCTGTTTATCCCATGCCAGCTCCACGCTGAATTACTGATTTGGCTCTGTGGAAAGCACAGCAGGGCCAATGCAGACTGTACCAGGGGCTGCCACCAGGAGCAGGCAGGGAAGTGCTGCTTTCATCCTGCATCCCTCCTCTGCATGGAGCTTTCCATGTGCTGCCTGCCCCCTCTAGTGTCGGACAGAAAGAACCAGGAAAAACATTTCCTTCAAGGATTTTTTTGGTTTGGTTTGTTTGGTGGGTTGGTTTTTTTATTTTTGGGTTTTCAATTCTGGAAACAAACACAACTCCACGGAGCTGAACTTGGCCAGCTCTGGGCACCTGGTGCTCCAGCAGGGGAAGAAGATCAGCAGCACAGGGCACCCATCGGCGCTGCACATCAGCAGCACAGGGCACCCATCGGTGCTGCACATCAGCAGCACAGGGCACCCATCGGTGCTGCACATCAGCAGCACAGGGCACCTATAGGTGCTGCACATCAGCAGCACAGGGCACCCATCGGTGCTGCACATCAGGGGCTGCACCTTCCCCTCCTGCAGGAGCTCAGAGCTGGGCAGCAGCTCAGCTGAGTGCCACCCAGGAGTGCCACCCCCACCAGTGTCACCCCCATGGAGCAGAGCAGAGTTAGGGCTCAGTGTCATCCCCACGAGTGTCACCCCCACGAGTGTCACCCCCACAAGTGCTACCCCCATCTAGCAGAGCAGTGTTTGGGCTGAATGTCACCCCCATGAATGTCACCCTCATGAGTGTCACCTCCACAAGTGCCACCCCCATAGAGCAGAGCAGCATTAGGGCTCAGTGTCACCCCCGTCAGTGCCATCCCTATGAGTGTCACCCCCATGAGTGTCACCTCCACGAGTGTCACTCCCATAAAGCAGAGCAGCACTGGGGCTCAGTGTCACCCCCATCCGTGTCACCCCTACAGGTGCTACCCCCATGGAGCAGAGCAGTGTTTGGGCTGAATGTCACCCCCATGGATGTCACCCCCATCAGTGCCACCCCCATGAGTGTCACCCCATGGAGCAGAGCAGAGTTAGGGCTCAGTGTCACCCCCATCACTGTCACCCCCATGAGTGTCACCCCATGGAGCAGAGCCGTGTTTGGGCTGAGTGTCACCCCCATGAATGTCACCCCCATGAATGTCACCCCCATGCAGCAGAGCAGCATTGGGGCTCAGTGCCACCCTGGGGCAGTGTCAGGTGTGCCCAGTGCCACCCCGGGGCGGGTGCCAGGCGTGGCAGTGTCCTTACCTGGCAGGCCCAGGAGCTGCCCCGTGCTGTGCTGCCGGGTGATGTGGTGCCAGTAGGCGCTGCGGGGCAGGGGCACCACGGTGCCCAGCGACACGGCCCGCTCGCTCCTCCTCAGCTGCAGCTGCAAGGCAGGACAGGCTCAGGGACAGCTGCAGCACTGGCACTGCACCCCCATGCAGGGCTGCCGCTGCAGGGGCTGCAATCCCCTTATGGACAGGCTCAGGGACAGCTGGCACCCCCACAAGTGTCACCCCCATGCACAGCACCCCATGCAGGGCTGCCACTGCAGGGGCTGCAATCCCCTTATGGACAGGCTCAGGGACAGCTGCAGCAGTGGCACTGCACCCCCATGCAGGGCTGCCGCTGCAGGGGCTGCA